CGTCACAACGTTGCAGGTGTGATTCAAAACTCTGCGTCGGCGGGTGCACCCGTCTTTTACGGAACGATCCATTTCAATGTTGCGTTGGGCGCTGTGGGAAGCGGCAGGCGTGTTGAAGACGTGAGCCGGGAGGAGGTAATCGAAGCCTGCAGGATGGCGATGTTGGAGGGGTGGGTTACTGGCTTGGACCAAGGTTATGATACACCTTTAGCAGGGACCGGAAATGCAGAGGGAGAAGAGGCTCATGGTGTTACATTGAGTGGAGGCATGAGGCAGCGCCTTGCAATTGCCCGTGCAAGAATTCGCGATCCTGAAGTTCTGATCCTAGGCACGTACCCTTCCCCACTTCCATCTGTTTGCTCACGCTGATGTCCGCAAATTGTAGACGAATCCACGTCCGCTCTGGATCCACCTACGCGCCTTCTCACTACTGCCGCCCTCCGAGCGTGGCGTACTCGCTGCCAAAAAACAACCCTCATCATCACGCACGATTTGTCGAGTATTGGCGCTGAAGATTTCGTGTATGTGATGCGCGCTGGACATATCGTGGAGCAGGGGTTTAGAGGTGATTTGGAGGGTTCGGGTGGGGAGTGGGAGAAGATGGTGAAGGAGATTGGTGTGCAGCTCGCGGAGGATGATGGCGATGCTGCTCGTCTACCTGTATACGAAGAGGTTGCGGAGATCCTTGCCGAGGCCGAGGAAACTCAAGAACAAGGGAATCTGGCGACCGATAGACATATGAGTGTCGCCCCTACCCTGGCTGGTGTGCGTCCCGTGACGATGGCGCTTGGCGGCTGGATGTTGGATGTTGTGGCAGAGTTGACGAGGACAACCGATGCGGCTTCTACTCCATCGACCAACAACTCCGCCCATGGCCACCTCGCCAACAACTTGTGTACAAGCGCAGACACACAAGGTCGCAGACGCAGACCTTCGAGTGTGTCCATCCTCGTTCCTTCCCCTACTTTCCCTCCGCGCGCATACGACGCGCGTAGTAGGTTAAGTCTCCAGTTCACGCCAACCTCACCTGCATTTCCTTCTTCATCGTCGACGCAATTCATGGTTGAAGACGATGATGAATTCGAGAAAGATAAGGAGGCTCTACAATGTGCTGCTCATCGAGCCGCCGGACGACGCGCTGAAAGGCAGGAGCGAAAAGTGCACGAGGTTATCCAGTTCCTACCCTTATCTTCCAGGAAATCTTCTCTCGTCGTTAGATCCGAAGCCAAAGGGAGAGCCAAAGTTGCGACCGTCGATTCCAGTGACAGGCCCTGCAGTCCCCCACCAAGCCTCTTCCAAACTATCCGTCTCATATGGCCTAGTATCCCGAGCAAACCTCTGCTCTTTGCCGGCCTCTTCGCATGTTTCTTAGGCGGGGCCATGACGCCTATTTTTTCGTTCCTTCTCTCCCGCCTCATGTTTGAAGTCTCTGCTGATCCATCCGATGCAAGTATCATCAACTCTTATGGCGGACTCGTACTCGGAATTGCGGCGTTGGACGGGCTACTCCTCGGCTTAAAATATATTCTTATGGAAAGATCGGCGATTCGATGGATCAATGTACTCCGTAACAAAGCCTACACACGTGTTCTTGCGCAAGATAAATCTTGGTTTGATGAACCCTCTCACTCACCCTCCGTACTTTCCCAAACTCTCATCAAAGATGCCGACGACGCACGCGCGCTCGTGGCTGTTGTATTGGGACAGTGTCTTGTTGTACTGGCGATGATGGGGCTCGGGTTGATATGGGCGATGGTGTGGGGGTGGCAGTTGACTCTTGTTGGTGTTGCCATTGGACCAATATTCGTTGCCGTGATGAGCATTCAGACGGGGTTAGTGGCTAGATGCGAATTGCGCAATAAGAGGGCGAGGGAGCAGATTGCGAAGGTTTATTACGAGGTACGATGTTCTCTCCTGATTTTGTTTCTGGCGTACTGACGTCACTGCATCCAGTCGATCGTCAACATCCGTAGTATCCGTGCCATGTCTCTGGAACCTATTCTCCAAGCTCAGTTCGATCAAGCCGCGTCAATATGTCTCACTACGGGGGTCCGTGGGGCCTTTGTTGAAGGCTGCACGTACGGCGTAGCATCCTCACTGATTTACCTCGCGGAAGCGCTCCTCTTCTACGTCGGTGCTGTCCTCATTGCTCGTGGAACGTATACGTATTTGCAGATGGTCCAAGTACTCAACTTGGTTGTTTTTACGGTCACCATCGGGTCCCAGCTTATGGCATTCACACAGAAGATTGCCAAGTCTGTTCAGGCGACGACGGATCTGTATGCACTCGTCCAGCTGCGATCTGATAAGACAAGCGAGGCACGCGGGCTCTTAAGACCTCGGAATCTCGGTGGCGATCTCGTCCTTAAAGACGTCGAGTTTACATACCCTGATCGAGTGGACGAACCTGTGTTGAAAGGGTTGTCGATGACAGTCAAGCAGGGTGATTGTGTTGCGCTGGTTGGCACATCGGGATGTGGGAAGTCGACGGTCGCAGCGCTTCTTCAAAGATTATACGAACCGACATCGGGATCGATATCGCTCAGCAACGTCCAACTGTGCAATACGGACGTACATCATCTCCGCGAACACGTCGCTGTGGTCAGTCAACAACCGCACTTGTTTGACGCGAGCGTCAAGGAGAATATCGCGTACGGGCGTATGAAGTCGATGGTTGATGCAGACGTCGAGCGTGCTGCTCGCGCTGCCAACATCCACGAATTCGTGATGAGCTTGCCTCAAGGATACGATACTCCCGTTGGCGAAGATGGATCGCATCTTTCCGGCGGCCAGGCGCAGCGGATCCAGATCGCGCGTGCGTTGGCAAGGCCATCCAAAGTCCTCGTTCTGGATGAATGTACGTCTGCTCTAGATGGGACGAATCAAGCCGCTGTACTCGAGACCGTCAAGAGCGCGAAACAGGGCAGGACGACGGTCATGATCACCCATCAAGTGCCAGTAATGAAGATGTGCGATCGGATCGTCGTGCTGCAGGACGGCGTGGTCGTCGAAGAGGGTACCTGGGACGAACTCGTTGATCGCAGGGGAGTTTTCGCAAAGTTGGCCAGTGGCGGGGAGTGGGCTGGGGAGTAGAGTCTTCCCTTCCACTGCCCTTTTTCTATTTATGCTTCTTTCATTTCGTTCTGATTTCCTCTTTGGATGAATTTTTCTTTGGATCAAGCTGCGATTTATACCGATTTTTTCGACCTTCCTGATTTACACCTTTTTTTTGCACCTATACATTCATATCTCTTGACGACTTACGCCACGTCGACACGACTACGCATTTTGTAGTACTAAGCACGCTCATTTGTATAGTTTAACTAACATGAAAGACTAAGTAGGAATTTTGGCAATATCAGAAACGAACTGCACAATACCCGTGTGGCACGCGGCAACCGTTGTTCTTCAAGAGCTGAAGCAACATGCCTGAAGAAAATCCTTTACATTAGATGATCAAGGTCTAAACTTACTTGCCAACACGTTGAGACGAAGCCATCTGCGTGTGAAATACAAATAGGTCATTGTCGAAGAGTCTGAACAATATAACTGCAGTAGAACTCGGTGTGCACAATATGTATCCAAAATGCGACCAAGAGAAAATAATAGATGAGCAGGAACGGATTCACGTCAGAGACCTTTCCAGACCACACCCGTTCTCAAAGCAAAAGTAGTACTTGCCCGTCGTTGATCAGAAACTCGTCTCGTCTTTCTGGACCTGATCCCAGCTCGATCCTACATCGAACATCCACGGCAAGTAGATAAATGCATCCTTCCTGTACCTATGGTACCGCAACTTCAAGTCTGCAACACAATTTTTGCAGAACCTACTATTCCAATCCGGGTCCCAGACGGCAAAGGGGTCAGCAGAAAGGGATGTTGCGCAACACCGTGAGCGGCATAGTAGACAGGTCGTACTCTCCAAGAAATAGCGGTCTTCCGGCCTCAAAAAAATATTTGTGAATACACGTTTCCCAAGTTCCGAGCGCCTATCTCTCGCGATGATACACGCTCTTTGATTGATAGGAGACAGCGAGTAGCGGACGCCGTTCCAGTCATACCCGTCCAGGAGCTTCTCAATGTCTGCCGAGAAAGCACAGGCATGTAGTGCAATGGGGAGAACTGTGAGCAACCCAACTTCGCGAATAATGTTAAGCAACTGGAAATCCAGGGGGTCACGTCCAGTGAGGGTTCCTTCGACGCGTGCTGGGCCAGAATTCGAAGGCAGTTCCCGAGGATAGCAGCCCTTCACTCTGCTCGATACGCAGTCGAAGAGTAGCTTGAATTCATACTTTTTGCCCAAGCGGAGCAGTGCCGTAGCAACGCTCATAGGCATTGACTGAGAGGAACTGATGTACCTGGATTGACCTCAGATCACTATCAGCGGGGGAACGCAGACACGCACTCGCCATGAAATAGCGCTTTGAGGACATGTTGAACCTCGCTGGCGGAATCCTGGAGGTGAACGACAGCACATCCGTCGATCACTTCCCCTTGATCAGCGGGTTGGGGACATGAAAACATGTCTTTGAAGATCGGTGAATGCACCGACAAGGTTCCCCGGTAAACTTTGAAGCATTGCCCTCCTGCTACAAGGACGATGTTCCCGTCATCAAACCACGGCTCGAGATGCTCTTACGAATCTGCTGATTCGTGGGCCATCTTGGAGAACTGCGCGGGAGTTGGGAACTTGCTGCCAGTCACGCCGCATCGACACAAACAGTATATATATATACGATTGGATCTAGGGTGTTTGGAGGGCCTCGTGTCCAGTTCCGAATGCGTCGGTGTATCCGTGGCTCTGGACTCGAACGTGGAGAAATGTTAACCCTGGAACAAACATACTACTTGGAACCGGGAATGGACAAAGGAAAAATGTGACGGACCAGGATGGTGGATGGTGAAGAACAGCGGACTTGGCGTTGGTGATTACACGACAGGGGGCGAGTCCGTGCGGTGTAGTGGGACGGCTGGCTTACGTATTGCAAGTATAAAAAGAAGGGCCTTGCTGGGAATCGAACCCAGGCCACTTGCAATCGAGAGCACCCAAAGCAAGTATCGTACCTCTAGACTACAAGGCCTTGCTCAAAAGAGGTCAATGCGGCTAATATCACATGGGGATAGATATGCACTAGCCCTGAGCCCTTGTGACACTGGACACGGCTGACTCGCATTGTACTCTTCGTTTCTCCCCTTTCTTCCTCAGAGATCTCATCGTCATCGTGCCCCGACCTGCTTATCGTTCGACTCGCTTGTTGCTGTGTTCGTCTCTTTTTGCTCGCCTTGTCTTACGCTATATCGTCGGCGATGTACGATCCATTCCCGTTCGAGGACATCGAATTTTCGCCGTGTTTTTCATCTGCTGTATCCTTCTTTAATGTCGAAGAACATCGCGTCGTTTCGGATTTCGATGAAGTACCTGCACTACATTTCGATGATATACTCCGGTACCCAGGGGACGACGACGACTACAGTGAGGAAATGGGAGAGAAGCGGAGGAAGGGTGATGAAGGGGAGAGGATTGGTCTTGGGCTATTGTTGGACGGGGTCTCCCAGATGCATGCTTACTCGCGTCGAAAAAACGAGGAGAATATCCTCGCTGCACTATTCAAGGAAGGCGAGGAGGATATGGTGGAGGGACCGAAGCCGTCTAGTCAATCCGGGCGGAACACGCGCTGGATTTCGTTGGCGAGCTCACATAAACCCGCCTCGACTCGCCGCCCAAAAGCTACTGCGGGTCGTGCTCCCAAAAAAGGTGGGAAGGTGGCCCAAGGCGGTTCCCGGATCCCATCGAGCACGGTGATACCCTCGAGAGTCCGACCCCGGACGGCACTTCCAGAGTGGTATGCCCGACCATACACAACAGGGACCGACTCCGATGGATATATGTGTCCACCACGGGGAGGTGTTCCGCCGCAGCTGGCGAGGGAGATTACGAGGGATAGCTTGATACAATCTGAATTGAGGGAGGGGGGTGAGCTGAGGAAGAGGAAGAGAAAGAACGGCGAGGACGGTTGCAAGGCGGGGAAGAGGATGCGGGCAAGTGAGTAGCGTATACACCGTGTGTAGTCAGCAAGTCGTGGGAAAGTGCATTCATCGCTTTGGCGGGTAACTTGAAACGACAACTGCTCTCCTTCTCCTTCTCTCATCCTCTGGCCATGAACAGGCCGACGTCCGTCGCGATGGGTTTCCAGCGACTCGAGGGCGTCGTTGACCTGTCCACCTTGTCTCCCGTCACGGACGACGCCATCGTCGCATGTCTCCGTGAACGTTTCATGGCAGACTCCGTCTACACCGCCGTCGGTCCATCTGCCCTTGTCGTCCTCAACCCACACAAGTACGTCTCTTCAAACGCTGACTCCGTCCTCCACAAGTATGCCGCAGAGTATCGGGACACCTCTCCTGGAAAATCTCGTCTGCCCCCCCACATATTCCAACTCGCCAACAATGCTTATTACCACATGCGGCGCACAGCACAGGACCAGTCCATTCTTTTCAGGTGCGCATTTCCCTTCTTTGTTGTAAACACACACTCACCAATGTCTAGTGGCGAAACCGCAAGCGGAAAGTCTGAGAACAGACGTCTTGCCATCAAAACCTTCCTCGAACTCTCCGTCTCGAATCCCGGAAAGAAAGGTGCAAAACTCGCACACCAAGTCCCCGCCGCAGAGTTTGTCATCGAAACGTTTGGAAACGCACGCACCCTCTTTAATCCGAACGCTTCTCGGTTTGGCAAGTACACTGAATTGCAGTTCACCGAGAGAGGTCGCCTGTGTGGCATAAAGACCCTCGATTACTATCTTGAAAGAAACAGAGTCGCTGCTGTTCCTTCGGGCGAACGCAACTTCCACATTTTTTACTATCTTGTCGCAGGCGCATCCCCCGAGGAAAGACAGCATCTTCATCTGCAAGACAAGGTTCACTATAGGTATCTCGGACAGCGTAGCGCAGGTGCTCGTCCCAATGCCGTCAGGGACGACGATGCACACCGATTCGAACAACTCAAAGTGGCGTTGAAGACCGTCGGTCTCTCCAAACGACACGTCGCACAGGCATGTCAACTCATCGCTGCCATTCTCCACCTCGGCAACCTCGAATTCACAATCGACCGTTCGAGGGATGTCGACGCTGCAGTCGTACGCAACGTCGATACCCTTGCCCTCGTAGCGGAGTTTCTTGGCGTCCAACCTTCTGCACTCGAGAACGCATTGTCCTACAAGACCAAATTGGTCAAGAAGGAACTTTGCACTGTCTTCCTCGACCCAGACGGAGCATCCGACAATAGAGACGACCTCGCCAAAACACTCTACTCCCTCCTTTTTGCATGGCTCAACGAGCACATCAATCAACGTCTCTGCAGAGACGACTTCGACACTTTCATCGGCTTATTTGATCTCCCCGGTCCACAGAACATGACAGGGAGATCCAACTCACTCGACCAGTTCTGCATCAACTTCGCAAATGAACGATTACACCATTTCATTCAACAACGTCTCTTCGAATCGCACGTCGACGAATACCAATCCGAGGGTATATCCAAATACGTTCCCCCCGTTTCTTACTTCGATAACTCAGAATGCGTCCGACTTTTTCAGAACAGACCTGGTGGCCTCATTCATATAATGGATGACCAAGCTCGCCGATCCCACAAGAAGACAGACCACACGATGGTGGAAGCTTTCGCCAAACGATGGGGCAACCATTCCTCCTTCAAGCTGGGAGGTGGCTTGGATAGGTCGGGTTTTCCAACGTTCACAATCTGCCATTTCAATGGACCGGTGACATATTCCTCCGAGGCGTTTTTGGAGCGCAACCTCGATGCTCTCAACCCTGATTTCGTGGCTCTCCTTCGTGGTACGGCAGTTGGTGCTGGCGTTGCGGATGGAGGGGAAGGAGCAGGGTCCATCAATCCCTTCGTCAAAGGTCTCTTTTCAGGAAAAGCCATCGCCACACAGGCTCATCCAAAGAGTGAGGACATGATAGTTGCCGCACAACAACCCGTAAAACCTATGCGGGCGCCTTCTACAAGACGGAAAAATACCGTTCGTCGTATGCCGCGCGATAATGCCGCCGCCGGCACGACTCCCACCATCATTGAAGAAGAGCGCGAGGATGAGGACGTCGCTATGCCCCAAAACACAGGTACACCCTGCGTCGCGGGCGAATTCTGCGCCGCCCTCGACACACTCTTTGACACATTGGGAGACGCACAAAATTGGTTCGTTTTCTGTATCAATCCGAACGACTCCCAACTCCCGAACCAGCTCGAGGGACGGTCGGTCAAGGGACAAGTACGCAGTGCAGGGTTGGTCGAGGTTGCCAAGCGGAATGCGTGTGTGTTTGAGGTCGGCATGACTCCAGAGGAATTTTGTCAGCGGTACAGGGATCCGATGTGCAAGGTCCTTCTTGGTGGCGGAGATGGGACTCCAGCAGAACAAATTGAAAGGATGAGGGTGGCTTTGGGCCTTGGAGAGACTGATGTGGTTTTGGGGCAGCACAAGGTGAGAACCTCCCACTTCCCCGCCGGAGGCAAGCTCATTGTACGTGTGTAGGTCTTCCTTTCACAAGCCGCCTTCCATGCTATGGAAGACTATTTGCGTGCCTCTGATGTTGAAGAACAGAAACGTAACCGGATGCGAGAGGCTGAGGTCGAAGCCGGTCTCGATGTTCGGCCCAGCGGTGATCCCTACGCCCCTTATTTGACTCCCTCTGCAGCTGGAGTCGACGAATCCACGTACGCGAATACGTACGGTGATCAGGCTCCACTCGTTGGTCAGGGCTCGTCCTTCCATAGGGAATACGACGAAGAGTATGACGAGGCCAAGACGGTACGGAGTGACGAGTTCGATGGTAGGAGTCGGTTGACAAGCGATCGGGACGATTCAAATTCGAACTATGGCACCGAGTCATATGCCCCCTCTCGCAATATGTTCCAACACGTGGATAAGGAAGGATTGATGGCGAAGGAGACGCTGCCCGGGGAGACCATGGAGGGCGAGACCACTGAAATTGTCAAGGAGACGTCTGCGCGGAGACGATGGGTTCTCCTTTGCTGGATGTTAACCTGGTGGATTCCGTCTCCCTTTCTGAAGTGGTTTGGACGCATGAAACGCGAAGACGTACGGCAGGCGTGGAGGGAAAAACTGGCTTTGAACATGATCATCTGGCTTATATGTGGCTGTGCGGTATTCGTGATTGCCGTGTTGGGGTTGATCATTTGTCCTACGCAGCACGTGTTCAGCACGTCCGAGCTTGCCTCATATTCCTACCAGAATAATCCGAACAACGTCTATACGTCGATTCGGGGAGAAGTCTTTGATTTGACACAGGTGGCGGCGACACATCAGCGTGTCGTCAGTGTCGTGTCCACCAAGTCGGTCCTGCAGTATGGTGGCATGGCTGCGGATGCGATTTTCCCTGTGCAGGTGCGTTAGGTCGTATATCATAGTGTGGTTTTCTCTGATAGAGACACAGGTGAGCGCCTTATGTAACGGTGTCTCAGGGACCGTGAGTCCCTGGGTGACGCTCAACTCCGCCAACAACACCGACCCCAATGCTCAGTACCACGACTTCCGCGCATTTACTAATGACTCTCGCCCAGACTGGTATTTCGAGAGCATGACGGTCATGCGGTGGAACAATCGCGTTGGGTACGTTGGGTATACTCCTTCGGAGATCCAAGATATGGCCAATAGCGGGTCATCGCTCGGGATTCTCGATGGGTTGATTTACGATTTGACGACGTATATCAATTACCCACCTGCCGTGATCACACCCGCGGGTACCCAAGCGGGCGGAAGCGTGGACACCCAATTCATGAGCTCCACCATTGTCGATCTGTTCAAGGTTAACTCCGGCCAGGATTTCACGAAGCAGTTCAACGATGGTCTCGGCCTCGATTCTACGACGCTTGAAATGCAGAAGACGTGTCTTCGGAATCTGTTCTTGATCGGTGCAGTGGACAACCGAAATTCGCCTCAGTGCTTGTTCTCGGAGTACATCTTACTCGTGCTTTCGGTTCTCATGGTCTCCATCATCGGGTTCAAGTTCATTGCGTCGATCAACTTCGGAGCTGCTCGCG